AGGGCACGAGGGAGGAGGAGGGACATGGGAGTCTGGGAAGAGGCGGAATTTTTTTTTCAATAATAAATAAATAAAATAAAATAAAAAAATAAAAACTTAAAAAATGTTATACAATGCAATGGTATACCCAAGGACAAGAAATTGTATTCTATATTTTGCAAGTGTTCCATTAAAGTCAGTGTGAACAGTTTTACTGGTGTGATGGTTTATGCTGATTGTCAAATTGATTTGGTCCAGAGTCCTTTAGCGTGTTTGTGAGAGATTGTATTCTTGTGAGAGACTGTTTAGATTGGTTTAATTGAAGTGGAAAGGTCCATTTTAACTGTGAGTAGCACCACTGCTTGGGCTGGTCCTGAACTGCATAAGTGGATAGGTGAATTGAATGCTGGCATTTACTCCGTCATGATGGACCATGTGCTGCCACTGTGAGCCAAGACAAACTTTCCCCTTCTGAATATGCGTGGTCAAGTGTTTCATCACAGCAACAAGTCAAGGAACTACTAGAGGAGAACTGAAGATGGTTCAGAAGAGTGGTGTGCTAATTTGTTTCATAATAAACTTGTTATTGTATTTCTACAGTAAATGACTGATTTCTCTGGAAAGATGGTCTTTAATTTGTTTTATTTTCAGATTAAAATAAAGCTAAGTATAAAAAGTGCTATATTACATATAAATTTATGGAATATATCATTTCAAGAATTTTGTTTGTTTAAAAATAATATAAACAAGATTTACTTAGGACATAGTTTTAATGTATTATAACTAAAAATGTCATTGTAATGGGCTTAAATACAGTAATACTTTAGCTTTTCAGAAATACATTTAAACATCAGGCCATATCAGGTGATTGGAAATTCTCTTTGTATATATTCGTTGTTTCTCTGTGTTTTCATTTGAATTTGAGCTAGTTAAATAGTTCTAAGAAGAATATTGTGTGATTCTTCTAGGCTAAATGAAGCAGATTAGTTACATCTCAGGGGAGTGTTTGCAAAGTAATACTGTTTAGTGTTGCCTGGCTCTTGCCTATCTGCTGTTTTTATTTTTATATCACTGAAAGTACATTCCACACCACGGCTTTCTAAAAAATAAAAACCATGCCTCCAGCAAAGGTACATTGTGTGTGCTTCAGCACTAAGCAAATTTTCTATCTATAAAATCTATCTCTATGTTCAGTTGTTAAAACCCTAGGAACTGGCAGAATTCATTGGAAAATACATGAGCTCAAAACTTCATCAAAATTAATCTCTTCCATTTAATTTTCATATATTAATGTTTGTGTATTAATATCTCAAACTTAAATAGATTTTAACAAGGTTAGCATGTTAGGCCAGCATTTTATACTAAATTTCTACACTTTCATTGCATTATTAGTTATCTTACTAGTGTATTTATTAAAAATACAGTAAATCAGTTATTTAAAGTCTTCTATTCTGTAGATTTATTTTATAGATCAAAATATTTCATACTTAATTAAAATTTTAAAAAAAGCTAATTTGAACATTTTACCCATATAAACTGGTTTATTTGGTTCAATCTACCTAAGAGAATTTCCCCCAAATATGTCATTTTCAGTTATTGCCTGCATGTGATCAGACAATCTTCATAATAAATACTGTTCTCACAGTGCCACTGTTAGACAGTCATAATTCTCCATATTTTACTGGTGAAAACTAAGCCAAAGCAATTGAGAAATTTATCTGTGATTTTAGGCAAAATAAATGGAAAAATAAGATTTAAAATGAAAAGCAGCCTCACTGGGGAGTAATACAGGAAATCCCACAGGAAAACAGTTTGTCTATTAACCAGTTTTGTGGAATTTTTATCCAAGATATTTACTTTATTTATTACACTTGTTTTTGACAAGAAATGGAGCTAAATGTGTAAAATGACTGTAAGGTTTCTAGCTTCCTGCATTTTTCAGAATAGAGTAAAACCTTGCCCCTCGTTTGCAGATGTAGCAATGAAGGAGTGCCCTCTGCTATTTGGTTGCTGGAGATGTTCAACAAAGACAGGGAGTCTAAACAGCAGAAATTGATTTCCTCACTGTTCTGCAGGCTAACAGTTAAAGATCAAGGTGTTCGTTGGCTTGGTTTCATATGTGTGCCTCTTTCCTTAGGTTGTTTTTCTTTGTTCTGTGTCTTGTGTGGCCCTGAGGACCAATTGGTTTCTTCTTAAAAGAAAATTAATCATATTTTATTAAGGAAGGCTATACTGAAGTCATCTAACCACTTATTAACTTCTTTAAAATTCATCCTCCAAATAAAACTACATCCTGAAAGAAAAACATTATCATGAAGTGGTTGGGTTTCTGTCCTTTACATGGATACAAAGTCTTCCTATGCTGCTATTTGGATGTTTTCATAATCCTGAGCGTTTGACAAGTGATCTTAGTAGACAAGAGGAAGAGCAGCAAAGGTGCTATTTATTGTCACCCTCAAGTGCTGGGACCCTGTGGTAGTTGTTTTTAATTGTCAACTTGACATATGCTAGAGTCATCATGAAGAAGCTCAATCAGGTAGTGTCTAGATCACATGGGTATGCCTGTAAGTAATTTTCTTGACCACCTCCATTGAGGTAGAAAGACCCAGCATGAAAATGAGACATACTCTTCCCTGGTTTGGACTCTTGGATTGTACACAAGTATAAAATGTTGGCTGAGCAAAAAAGCAGGCAAGCATTCATTTCTCTCTATGCTTTTGACCACGAATACAGTTTGAGCAGTTATGTGAAGCTCCTTTCACTGTGACAAGCCAGCACTGATGGACTGTAACCTGGAATTGTAAGTAGAGATAGGAATTTTAAAACATTTTAAAGAGTATGGGGCTTTTAAACTTTGGAATGTATTTTGTGTTTGGAGAGTGAAATTAATATAAGAATTTGGGAATGAATGAGAAAGAAAATATAGTGGAGTAATAATGTGTTTGTGTCCAGCTGACAAATGCTCAGTTATCCATGCAACAGTTACTGAACGGAAAAGGAGTAGGAGTGGGTTGGGGGTGAGGACAGAGAGTTGGGAGGAGGGATTGGAAGTGGAGAAGGGAAGTGAAATGCAGCTGAGGTGTAAAATTGACTAATTAAAAATTGTAGACAACTTTGAGATAGTTTCTTAATTATTGAGTGATTGGGTAAGGTCCAAACCATTGTGGTTGTTTCTAGCTCTGAGAAGATGTCTCTGAATTGTATAAGAAAGCAGACTGACCAAGCCGTGCGTCAATCTAGCAAGCACTGTTATTGCATGTCCTGTCTGGTCTCTGCTTTAATTCCTGCCTCCAGGTTTTCCCCTGGAGTTTCTATCTTGACTTCCCTCATTAGTGAAGCCTGAAGTTTGAAGACAAAACGAAAGCATTCATTCCCAAGGTTGTTTTTTTTTTTTTTTTTTTTTTTTTTTTTTTTTTTTTTTTTTTTTTTTCCTTGAGTCTTATCACATCAATAGAAAAGTAACTAAGACACTGGTCATCATGAGATGAACAATCTTACTACTCCAGAATCCACCTGCCATATATATGACACATTTTGTGTCAGTGCAATGAGACTAAACCACTGTAAACTGAAACTTTCTGAAATCACATCCCAAAATAAACATCCTCCCTTTTAAGTGGCTTATACCAAGTATTTCACCACAAGAACTAAAAGCTGACTAATTTCAAAGATAAGCAAAGAAAGTTGAGGGAAGATCTGATTATATTGCCTCATGTGCTTTCATCCAATCAGTTTGTCATGTTCTTCTGGCAGTCACGTTGGTAAGGCTCTAACATCACTAGTGTGTAGCTCTTGATATTATTAGAGATACAATCTCATAGCAAACTCCCTGATCCCCTGACTCTTATGATATTTTATTTCTCTCCTATCATATTTCCTTAGCCATAGGTGCCGGTATGTTTTGTAAATATATACATTGAGGCTGGGCTCCACAGTTCTGAATTTTAATAGGTTGTAGTTTATTGTAGTAGTTGCTATTATGCAAATAACTATAGGCAACCGAGGGAATCTGGGAACAGGAGAGGTGGCCTTCCCAAAGAAGAGCACACAAATTTATTGTCCAGTTTCAGATGGTCAACCATGAAATCATACACACGAGCTGAGAAGGTTATGTTCAGGAATATAAGTATATACATACATTCATGCAATAAATATTAGTGAAAAGGGAGGCTATGAATTTGAAGGAAAGTGGGGAGGGTTACATGGGAGAGTTTGAAGGGGAGAGTGAGAAGGGGGAAATGAGGAATTAAGTTATAAGCGCAAACAAAGGAAGAGGAGGAGAAGAGGTGGTGGTGGTGGTGACAACATACAGGCAATTACAAGTGAAATCAAGACTCTAGTATTTCCTTCTATTGTCCTACAATCTCTGCAACTGCAGAGAGTTTCACAGGTTACCTGAGACCAACACTGTTATACTCCAGTTTATATACGGTCCTGAGAACAGCTATAGGATGTACTGGAATGAAATAGCCTAAGCTAAGAAAGGGAGTGGAGCAGCCTGAGCTCTCTTCCAGGTCTTCCCTGAAAGTGGCTTATCCTTTGACACTTGAGCCCAATGAGACATAAAACCCAGGGTGAACTGCTCGCCGTAGTGTCTCGGCTGCAAAGCAAATGGAGCATGCACAGATGAGACTCCATCTGCCCTGAGCAGCTTTCCTGAGCCTGGGGACTGACTCACAATGAATCCCAGGTTTGCATTGGTCCTTGTTGCCAATCTGTAAATAATAAGTTCATAACCATTACACAATAAGCCTGCTGTGTAGTAGTTTTGTGTTTGTCTCTGGATTCACAATGGAAATGATTATGAAATCAGAATTAAGTCCTTTGTTACTCAATCAGAAATTTGCAAGCAAAGGGACTGTGAAGAACACATTTGCTTTAGATGTCTAGATGTTTTTACCAAGGAGAAGATGAGTAATTTTAATTATCAGATATTTCATCTCAAGGTAGCTGTAAATGAAGCAACTCTATTAGGTTATTAAACCATTCAATTTTGTCACAAAAATTTTCTGAATTTGTGATCCATAGAAAGTTTCCCTTTTATTTTTAATTTAAAAGATGCAAGCAAACGAACTCCATTCATCTTATTTTATTTATATGTTAAAATTGCTCTGGGCAAATTTTTTCAATGGAAAATATGAAATGAGATGGAAAACTTTAATGAGCCAAAGCAAAATTTCTTGAAAAGAAATAGAACCTATGGGGGTTCTTTCATTCCTTTTTAAAAAATACATCCCATCAGGTGAACCATGATAGAATTGCAAAATAGAGGCATGAGATGCTTCCCAGAGATCAGGTATGAGGTATTAAGTCAAACTATAAGTGGACTGCAATGATTCCAAGCTAACTTTCCACCCTGTTCATATTTTACCCCTTTCTCTTGCAGTGTGGGTATTAATTCCCTCATAGGAGAAGGTGCAGACTGATTTCCTATGCTCTCATCAAATTCATTCACTTACAGTAAACAGATTTTCTGGGTTTTAAGTGGCATATATTAGTGAATGCTTATTTTCTGGAAGGGCTGATGGTGAGAGGGTGTTAGTACAAAAGCGTAGATTATCTCTTGTGGAAAAAGGAAATTATCAGTCAACTTTCTGCCATTGCTTATACTTTACTCACGGTATGTTTGTGAAGACATTTCCCTGTGAATTTCTCACAGGAAAGAACTGGGGATTGAATACAGAACCTAGCACATTCTAGGCTAACACTCTACCACTTAACTATATATCCACAGTTATCTTTTACTTTTTAGTTTGAAACGGGATCTAGCTAAGCTGACACACTGAAGTTGAGTTCACTCTACAGAAAACTCAAGCAGGCTTTTTTTCCCTGTGATCTTCATGTCTCAGTCTCCTGAGAACAAGGGTTGGTAGTTATGCATACCGGGTCTTATGTGAATTTAATTTTGAGCATAAATGCCAGAAGTCTACTAATTTAAACTGATATTTGTATTTGTACAGAGTCATTTGGTGTGAAAAATGAATGGTGCTTTCAGAAAAAGCAAAGACCAGTGGCACATAAAAGGAATCTTAAAAGCATGGAAATATAAAAATTGAGTATTATTTTAGAGACACAGTCTCACTATGTTACTCAGGATGGCCTCCAATTTGATATTCTCTTGCCTCAGTGTAAATGTTGGGATTGTAGGTTTGCTACATCATGTCTGATGTTAGATAATTATTGTTAAGCATCTTTCTCAAGATATCATTTACAAACCATAAAATTTGTGTATTTCAAGTGTACTTTGCTTGTCAATATATTTTCGGAATTGTCTAATACTCTAAATTTTTTTTCTTTTGAGACAAGGTCTCACTGTGTAGGCATAGCTTGTCTGGACCTCACTATGTAGAAACTAGTAGACTAGGCTGGCCTCCAACTGCCTTCCTTGTACTAAGATTAAAGGCATGCACCACCACCCTGAGCCATAATTTAATTTTAAACATTTAATAATCTTCTAAAGAAACTCTATGGGTTTGAGTAGACATTCCCACTTCACTATCCCGAGTCACAGGTGGCCACTCTCCTCCTGTGTGTGTCTTTGGATTGTTGGCTTTTAGCATTTGTGGATCTTGAGTTATGCTACCCTTTTTCTGTTACCCAGGTCTCTGTTCAATGACGCTTTTGAAGACCATCAAGGTTATAGCAGGTACTGCTATTTCACTGCCCGTTTCTATTCCATTGTAGAGACAAGCCACATTCCCCCCTACTTATCAGCTGATAGCTATTTTAGATACTTCCACTTGAACATAATATTCCATTTTGAACTTATTATTTTTCCACTAAGATTAGATAATTAGATGTGGATGAAATTGAACCTGTAACATTTTGTCACTAGAATTCCAATGTCTTGCTTAACAATATGGTTTGCCTCAAGCTCATGAATAAATTACTCCTTTTTCTAAGAGATTTGTTGTTTTAGTTTTTGGGTTTAGGTCTCGGACCACCTGGCTTAAAATTGGGGTATGACAGGAGGTAGTGGTTCAATGTCATTCTTCCTATGCCTATAGTAAAGAGTAATTTGCAATCAATGTCCTGCAGTGTTATCATTTGTCTAAGAACACTTTGCAGTTCTCATTACAGGTATGAAAATGTGGATGTGCAGCTCAGGAACCATTTTGTTTTGGTAATGAAACATATTATGCCCTTACTCCATGAAAGGAACTTTATTCTTACTCTTTTCCTAGGAATTACAATATTCAAAGGATAACTTTATACTATGGGGTTAATGTATTTAAAATATTTTTGCAGTATATATGTAGTTTAGAGAAGAAAATTAGATACTTTAGCCCTGGACTGTGAAAAGAAGGCATATGGTTGTCTATTTTCCTTCTGTGATTAATATGAAAGTCTATCTATAAGAAATTATTTATTGACTCTCTGATCATGGCGAACAATGAGGACTGATGAGAAGCCAAGGTCAATGGCAAGGGGTTTTGATCCTACTTCATGTTCCGGCTTGGTGGGAGCCTAGCCAGTTTGAATGTTCACCTTCCTAGACATGGATTGAGTGGGGAGGTCCTTGGACTTTCCACAGGGCAGGGAACCTTGACTGCTCTTTGGATTGGAGAGGGAGGGGGAGAGGAGTGGGGGGAGGGGGAGAAGAGTGGGAGGAGGGGGAGGGAAATGGGAGGCTGGGAGGAGACGGAAACTTTTTTTTCCCATTCTCAATAAAATAAAAAAAAAGAAAAAAAAGAAATTATTTATTAGCAGAATTATTATTAATGGTACAAACTAGGGGGTTTGGGCAGAACATTCTTGTACATGCTTATCACATCTGTTTTTTACTGAACTCTGTCCTTTCTTCCCAGTCTAAATAAATTCTAGTGTTTACTCTTTTGCTTTCAAATCACTACTTTCAATTTCCCCATGTGTGTGAATACCGTTAACTCGTGAGCATAGCTTATTTTGCATAACGTGATGTTCTTTCCTCCAACCTACTCTGCTGCAAATGAAAGAATTTCAGTTTTTATGCCCATTGTTTATAATAATCTCATTTTCTTTATCCATTCAATTGTTGGTAAACTTCTAAGCTGATTCCATATTGTGGATCATGTGAATGGAGCCACAAAAACATGGCATTCAAGTATCTGAAAAAAGTAGGTTCCCATAGGAAAAATTACATGCCTAGATGCCTCTAAATTATATAGCAAATAAACTCAGAATAGGACCTATCAGATTTGGGGGAAGAAAAGTTATGATATAGTATATGGATAAATATTAAGTGCAAAGAAATGACCATGGAAATGTTGCTATCAGACAGATATCATACTTGATAGTTAAATGAGTGTCTGCAGTCATTTTTCAGTGATTAAAATTTATTTTCATTAAAATGGTGAGAATTGTAAATTTAAATTAATATCTGTGAATTTCAATTTTAAAGACATTTCGTGTGGGATCAGATATCGAAACGTTCATAATACAAAGGACTGAAACACCTTGAGTTGGTAGGTTAGGCTGGCTTTAACCTCTAGTGCCCGAAATGACTGCTTTTTTTTTTTTTTAACTAATGTTGTTTTATTATGCAAACTCAGACCTTTAGCAATGCATTGTCCTTTGGAGTGGAAATATGCAATGGCCTTTTGATCTTCAGTTGGTTTTGGGTGATTTCCAGAGTCACTACTAGATTGGAGTGTGTCAGAGGATAAAGGAACCAAATAGCATTGCCTCCCTAAAGAGGAAGGACTTGCCTCACATCTGTTCTGAATTTTAAAAAGTTTTGGTTTCTTTTCTACATTTAGTTAAGAAGTAGAGTAAGATATTCTCCAAGTGTAAATATAAGATGCTTCAAATGAAAAACTCTAAGTTTCCTGCTTCGATATATATGGTAAATTTTTGTTTGGAACCTTGGTGAATAACAGGGAGTCTTCTATTTTGATTGCCAGTTTTGCTGTTATATCATAGGTGGCAATGTTGTCTTTACAAGGCTTGATTAAAATACAGTTTGTGAAATGAAAGCACATCACCTTTATTAATTTGAAATTCATGACTTTACAGTTTATAAGAAATTGTTCTTCAAATTTAAATTTATGTTGCACATTTTTCTAGGTTTTAGTATCTATATCAATTGTTCCCAGAGGATAGTAGTTACAAAGTTTTAATAATAACATACCAAAGTTTATTTGGACATCTTGTGACTGATTGCATTTTATTTAATCCTGAATTATGTGACAGTTGAACACACAGAAATCCCATAAAGATAGAAAATTGGATACTATGATATGTATGCAAAAGACAAAGATAATTTAAAAAGACATTTAAAAAAATGGTACTGAGCTCAGTTTCTGGGCTGGGGACTGCATGTAAGTGCGGTTCATATGTTCAGTGAGATGCTGGTAGAAAAAACTAATTTTTTCTTTATGAGCAGTTATTAATTGGAGATAGTTTCTGGGTTGGGGGTGCTTGTGTCTACTTTCTCTGCTGCTCTCAAAAATATTCTTTGTTCTTCTTGCTTCAATTCTACTTGGAAGGCTTTGCCTTGAGTTTTCTAGTTAAATTGTTGCTTTTCACCATCCTCATTTATGATTGAGTCTTTTCAGTCTTTCTCTTTACTGAATTCCATCTTCAAACCCAACTGATAGTATCTAAAAATACAACTTCTGAACCTAAGGCTCAGGGGACATTGTAGAAGATGGAGGAAACAGATTTTAAGAGACAGAGGAACAGGAAATTTGTTATGAGATTGTGTCATTTAGAGATACCAGAAAATGGATACCCA